GTGGTAGCAGAGAATCAGTCATTCATAACGAGGCTTCTTCATTAATAAGGGTGACTATAACTGAATATGTACAACAGAAATAGGATTGATTAAATTAGGATGCCCTTCTCTGTTTATGTGACATCAACTGAGATTGATTAGTTTGTCTCCTCGAGTTATTTCTGCTGTGCCTCTCTATTTTCTCAATGTTTCACTGTTTTATCACTTTTATTGCCCGCTAAGGTCCAGATCTTAAAGAAATGATGATTATTGTTTTTCAGACTCTTTTTCACAGCACTGTTGCCTCGCAGCAAGAAGGTCGTCGGTTCGCGTCCCAGTGGGGGCACCGGGATCTTTCTGCATGCAGTGTGCATGTTCTCCCCGTGCAGCGTCTGTTCTCTTCGGGTTCTCTGGCTTCCTCCCAGAAGTCCAAAAACATGCTAAGGTTAATTGGTGATTCTAAATTGTCCGTAGGTGTGAATGTGAGTGTGCTTGGTTGTCTGTCTCTAAGTGTAGCCCTGTGATAGACTGGTGACCTGTCTAGGGTGTCCCCTGCCTTCACCCTGAGTCAGCTGGGATAGGCTCCAGCCCCCCACGACCCTAGTGAGGATTAAGCGGTGTATAGATAATGGATGGGATGGATGGAGTTAAATTTGAAACATTAATCTTATTTTCCATAATAAAGCACTTTGGCTCAATGTCTTTTGTTTTAAATGTACTTGTAAATAATGGTTTCTTGATTTGACTGTAAAATCTTTTATAATTTACTTCCTGGTCTGTTCAGTATCCTATTAAGACTTTGTGTGTGTACGTGCTTCTGAGCAGATCTAGGAACAGTGAACGGCAGTGAAATTCTCTCATTATGACTGTGAACGTTTAATCTATACAGAAACCCCGTTGAGTCTGTGGGACTGACGGTGAAATCTGATGCGTGCTGCCATTTATTCTTTCACAGCTGAATCACTCTCCGTTACCAAACTCCATTACAGCTGAATTGATAGTTGAAGAGTAAGCTTTGTCCTTGAAAATTGCACCATCATATAATATTTCTTACAATTTGCCAACATTTTTGCCTGTTGACTCATCAGATTATCAGAGGTTAGCCAGCAGAATCAGATGTTGCGATGAAAAGTCTATATAACCAGCAGTGTGTACCTTGTCGTCCTTTAGGGAGCTGATCCTCGCCTCCAGGTCCTTAAGGACCTTGTCCTGTTCACATAACCGACTCAACTTCACCTGCAGGGGGAGACACAGAGTGGGAGGCATTAAAACAACGGCATGCTGCCACAGGTAAAGCACTTCTCAAGTGCTCCCAAAAGTCTGTGTCTGTGGGTTGACCTCTGGTAATTAAGTGGCCCATTTACTTAATTACAACCTGCTCTGGTTTGTGCAGCTGCAGACAAATGTACTGTGCACAGGAACACGTATGTGGGTGAATGTTTGGAAGAGTATGTGCATAGTGATGTGTGATTACATGTGTTTATGCACGGTCATACATGTCTTTTTTATTGTTTGCGTGCATGCAGATGTGGGACACTTTGTATCAACAGTCCCGTAGCTCCCCTGGTCGTTTACGGGTGTAATTGCAATTACTGTGATTAAACCCATTAGACAAAGTGGGTGCGACCCACCTGACACCTTTCATTATAGTGTCAGCGACGCCCAGAGTATTGTTAATTAATCTCCGATTAAACCTAACAAACTTGTTGGCAAAGGTGGAAACACTTTATCATCCTGTGGTAAAACTACAACACCACATTTATGGACGAAGTTTGTGACTGAGAAACTAGATGTGAATGAAGTACTTCATCCGTATAAAATTTTACACTCGGAACTAAGTTTTATATTCCATCAAATAAATTATTAATCCACATGTTGTCTCCACGGTGATGTTGTTGTTGAATCTAATCAAATATTCATTGCTGACAATGCGCTCATAAATTGTTTAAAACAGCTGAATAAAGGAAATACTGAAAATACTTTTAGTAGAGAAAACACAACTGAAAAGCTGCAAGGAGTTGTGTGGATTACAAAACTGAACGAGTGATGGCATTTACCTGTTAACACTTTGCAAGCTGCTTCCCCTTAAAGCTAAGAGTAAAAGCTTATGTCATCCTCACACACTTTTTCCACAGGATTCATATTTTGATTTGCCTTAATTTCCCTCAATTTTCTTCTAGCTCGACTATGTCAGTAAATGCTGCCAACCAGACCAGTGTTTCCTTGTCTGGATGGAAACAAAACTCAGTCCTAGGAATTTTATTTATTGCAAATGTACACATTCATACTGCAAACCACAATAAAAACTGCATGTGAATGTATATTTGCAACAGACTACATTCAGTAACAGCAAATTATTGCATATATGTGTCTGTTTCTTTCATTCAAGTGGTTGCAGGATATGGAAAGGGGGAAAAAATCCGACCTTGAAATGTTAAATTCTTTGGATCAACATCAAAAACTAAAACATTCAGTTGGCCAACACCTGTTAACTCATTTTCTAACAGGTTCTGATAACATCCAACAAACGAATAAACAAACAGAGCTGAAAACAGAACCTCCTTGTCACTGTCAAGTGAAATTGGGTTGGATTTGATGAAGATAAGGTACTTTAAGAAGTATTTACTTACGTCCACATCACTTTCTGCAACCTTGACAGGTTTCCCTGTCTCCTTCAGTGTCTGACTTCCAGCTACCTGGAAATTTCAAAATACACATTTGTAGATGTTGGTTATGTGGTAAAACAAAGAGTCTGACTCCATGGTACATGAGTGCTGAAATAAAGGAAATATAGGACACAGAGACCAACTACAAACTACTACAAGGCTGAGGCAGACTATCTGTGACACATTCTCTAAGCCTCGCGTACATGACAATATGAGTGAGTTTTGGCAAAAACAGACAAAATCAGCTCTTGCCATGAACAACACAATGGCTATGGAGACTTTGAAGCCCTGCACAAAATGACTTGTCCATTAAACATTTCAGTGCAATGTCCTTACCATTCAAAACAGTTCAAGTGTTTTCACTTTTACTTTCCAGTTTTAACTCTCAGAACCCCATAACCCACTGGTAGGTTTGAAAGGCATGTTATCTTTAAATTACAAGTAAAAATAGAGAGATTTGTTGTTGCTTTTTTCTTTTTTTCATTCCAACTGTCTCTTACCTACTCATCTGTGATGTGCCGTTCAGTCGGGAAACAAATCTAAGTTTAAAATTATGGCAATCGATCAAAATTACTTTATTCTACATGTCTCACTTAAAAAAGAAGCCAAAAATAAATTGTTTCTACTGGTTTTGGCTGAACTGCAGGTTGTGCTTACACAAAGCAGAGAGGAGAAAAGTATGGAAACAAAGTAAAAAATAAAAAATCTACTGTATGTAGTCACCATTTTCTTCCAGTGTTAATAACACTTTTACATATGTGGAAAAGTGCATGTTGAATTCAGGTTTTTACAATTTTTGGAAAATATCAAATCGAAGAAATTCTACTTTTTTTTTTTATTTCTGGTTTTATAATTTTGTTATGCTGCACAAAAGAAAAAAATGAGCCCACAGTGAGTCAAAATGTGATGGAAACTTCTTGGGGTTCAGAGGGTTAAAAATAATAAAATACAGTACATGTGAAAAGTTGAAAAAAAAAATCAACTTACTGACAACAGTTTTTTTTTTTGTTCTTGGAATAATTAGTCGTATGTGTGCTCCTTTTTTTTTAAAAAACAAAACAAAAACAAAAATCGATATATGACACAGTAGAGCTCTGAATTATTGTCAAGGAGGTGCAGTGTTTCAGAGACGATGGTAGAAGCAGCTGGCTTTTCAACCACCGGGCCACAGCCACAGCCACAACACATGCACTGCCGAGCCATCCCATGCCCACTATTCAACAGCGTTGTCAACATCTCCACACGGTGAGAGGATGGCGTGAAGTCAGGCCGGTCAAGGCTCACTGGGAGACAACACATTCGATGCCGCTCAAGCCGTGAATGCAGTGCTGTAAGCAATGGGATGGTCCTTCTACAACACTGACTCTCTAAACGCGCACTCTCACACACACCCAGAACTATGAGCGTGCGTCCCTACTCTGAACACTGTACGAACATGCACAAGCATAAACGCACACGCACACAAGCACAGGCACACTACAGACAGTTTTGTATCTTTTTAGTACATGTACTGGACACAGACACACATACGTACGCACATACACATTGAGCTTACGTTCATTAGAGGCCTGAGAGGCCCAGCAGTGCAGTGCAGTAGTAAACTGTGAACTGCGAGAATCAGGGGCTCTAGAGCTCTGATCTGGGAGTCAAAATCACAAAGACACAGAGCCGCAGTCACAAAATGGCGGCTGCTTTTGTGAGATGCTTCTAAAACCACTCAAGAGTTAGAAGATCACTGCAAGTTTTCGGGGATGTTTAGTCCCACACAGACACCTGAACATCTCCATTTGTAGCTATATTGGTAGCTGTCTTGGTTCGACAGTTCCACATTGGTTGAAGTGATAGAAGTAGTTGTCAGTAAGAAATACCAAGTGTGTTAGTTTGACTGAGAAACATTTCAAATTGGAAAAGGCACACTAGATGTAGAAGACTTGAACCAAAGCAGATTAGTTACGATAAAAATCAGGAGTCAGAGGACAAACTGTATCTATCATTATCTTTCTCACCTTCAGGTCCAGATACTCCAAGTCCTTCTTCAGCTGCATATAGGTGTCATCCGCCTAGAAGGTGACAAATGTATAAGTGGGGATTACTGATTTGTAAGAACAGCAATTAAATAAGTCAATATCTGAGCCATCTTAACCTACAAAAGCACCGGCATCATCAAGTGGGATGTAGTGAGACTTATGCATCGAGTATGACGTGTTAAGTGCTGTTACGTGTCTGCGCTGACATGCATCACAACACACTTAAACATACAGTCAAATTTCATTCACGTATTTCATGTTTGGAGAAGTTTAGCCGCTTCTACTGCAACAAACAAAAGAGCAGCACAAACCAGATCCATCAGAAGCAGCAGATCTTGAAACTTAGCTGAATTCAGATTTGAATTCAGCTCACATCAACAACAAAACAAACTTCGATACGGCCGGAAATCACGCATCAGAGGACCAGACTGACCGACACATCCACAGCTTGCCAATTAGCTACAGCATGGGATGGCTTTGTGGACGTCAAAAACATAGCAACACAACATGCTATGGACATTATCAGTAGAAGCACGATATGGATCAGCCAAGAACAGCACATGAAAAAGAGGCGGATGGTTCTCGGCAGCCAGGCCAGCGCTCACTGACACTAAAGCAGCAGAGCTTTTATGTACAGGTTGCCACTAATGTACTGACACGAGGCTGTAGGTGCTGCTGTTGTGTTTTTGTTTGCCCTTTATTTATTCCGTTATTTTCGTAGCACTATTTCACATTTGGTATGTATTTATGGTTGGGAACTACCAGGTGCGACGTTAAGTGGGAGTCACCACTTTGACTGAGTGTGTTTAAATGAAAATGAATTGAAGATGTGAGTATTAGAGAATAGAAATGCCATTTTATGAAACCTGTGTTTAGCAAGTTTGCTTAATAAGAAATATTGACGAATTTAATGCGATTCTAACATCCTTGAGATGATATTGTGTTTGCAGAAAAATGAGTGAGTGAGACTGAAAGCTACGTCTGTGTGTTGTTTTCAACTTGTTCATTGTTTCTTTGCAGTATTATTGGCAGCAGGTTGTGATGATGGGGATTAGTGGGGGCAACAAAATGTTAACCCTTTGAAAATCCAAACCCTCCCCAGCTTGCTTTTCAAACCCATTTTTTTTCGTCTTTTTAAAAAATGTCCAAAATGACAACATTTTCAGAGCCAGAAAATCTAAAAACAGAAAAAATCGTGGATTTTCAACCTCCTGACAGTTTGATAACTACTCATATATGTTTAATTTATGTTTAAAATTATGATATTGCTTCAAAATCTGTTATTTTTATTAGTTCTACATGTCTCCTTAAGAAATTCTCAAAAATAAAGCGTGTGTACAAAAACAATTCTGCGCTTCTTGGTACAACCCAGAAGTCACGACTGACTCAGCTGTGACCAACAATCGTGACGAAAAGAGTTTTCAGGTAATGTGCAGGCTGTTGTTTACGGCCTGTCACACTGCACAAATACAAACAGGAGCAAATAAAATTACCAGAAATTGCTTGGGGTTCAGTGGGCTGACTTCTATACATAGCAGGCAGGTCAGTAGAAATTTCAATTTAAAGATTACAAAATCTTTATATTTTCATTTTCCTGATTTGACATCGCGAAGGCGTAGACCGAACATGGTGCTGTACAGGCGCTTAAATGTTAGA